ATCTAAGGTCCATTTGAAACAACAGGGATTACTCTGTTCAGCGTGTTTCAAAGGAGGGATCACACTGAAAATCATGGAAGCATAAAAACATCCCCTTTGATTTGTGCTGCCTCTGCACTTTGTTCATGCATGGTTTTGGTTGGTATTAATGTAAGGCTTTGTCTTCTGGTTTTTTGAATGTGTTGTTTCCACATATGGCATGAATGTAAGTAAAAAAGCTAAATAGGATGCTGCCCTTTCAATCAGAACCCCCCATGAGTAGCTCCAGGGCATCTCCTGTTTTGAATGAGACACTACCACTCTCTCTACCACTTTTTGTGATGGACAGGCTGATCTGCAGAGCTTACATGCTGCAGTATGCTGCCCCTCTCTGAGACATCCCTGCCATCACGGTAGCACTCCTGGAACTGCAGGAGCTTCTGATAAAAGAGGTCTTCTGCAGAGTCCTCTGTGGGGAGGAGAATCATGGGTTCTACACCCACTTTCCTTCCTGGTCCCCAAGAGAATGGGAGAGAAGGAATCCATCCTCTGTCAGAAACGGCGCGCGATGCAGCTGAAAAGGTTTTGGTGAACTCTATTAAATGGCCAGACGAGGAAGTGATGAACAAAAACCGTCTCTTTAATAAGAGGACACACACTTAACAGGAAAACAAGACAAGACACGGTGTAACATAAAACTCACGGTATAACAGTCCGAGATCAGAGCCAGCAAACACATACATCCAGGGGAATCCAAAGTTCATTGTCCAAAGGGAAAGTCCGATAATTCATACACAGAAGCAGTCCGAAATAAGAGGGCATGGCAGAACAGAATAGTCCAAGGTAATAGTCCGGGTCAGAAACACAAAATACCAAAACCGAAGATAATGCTGGAAACTCAGAGCTGGGGTCTAGAACAGTCTGGCAGCGTCCTTGTGGGAGGACACTGCCCAAATAGAGGTGCAAACAGGTGCAAACAATAACGAAGCAGGTGAAACTAATGTGAGTGATGAAGAACGTAAAAAGACCAAAACTAAGGTGAAACAAAAACAGGAAGTAAGGTCAAAATAAAAGTCTGACAGGAAGCAGCAGAACCGAGTCATGACATCCTCGACCTGTTCTCGACCTCAGTTGATACTGAGGAGGCTGCTTCACATGCTGACGGTAAACCAGGTTATGTGTGCATTTACCTGGGCAAACGGTTCATGTCCATAGTCCTGAAGGATGCCCAGTTTTGCACCCTCATTATCCCCATGCACAGAAATTGCCTTTGCTTTTTACTCCAGGCGATCCAGTACCAGTACAACTGCCTGCTGTTCGGTTACTCTCTGGCTCCCTGTGCATTCTCCAAATGTGTGGCGACAGCCCTGGAGCCATTACACAGGAAAGGGATGAAACTGCTTCTTTAGTTAGACTATCTGCTGATACTGGTCTGCTCCAAAGAGGAGGCCGCACTGTAGATGATGGAGCTGGTGGTGCACCTGTCCACCCTGGCCTTCACTATAAACTGGTAGAAGAGCTCTGCTCATCCCGGTTGTTTATCTTGCGGTAGAGATAAAGTCGATCAGCATGAGAGCACAGCTTTCTCAAGAGAAGTGTGGACATGATGTTGTCTCTCCTGCCTTGGGTGAACACACACACACACACGCATATACACACAATGTTGTGACAGCCTTCTCCATCATGCAGCAGTTGGGTATGATGTTGGTGGGTCACATGGTGGTTCCTATTGGTCTCCACATGAGGTGGACCTTCAACAGTGGTGTGGTTGCCTGTGTCTCAACCTAATGTGTCATTGGAAATACCCGGTGGCCATACCCATGTGTTTCCAGTGTGTTGGGTCAGTCCAAAGTGTGGATTTTCTTTGTTTGAGCTTGTAGATTTACTTCAGTGTTTATGGTCATTGTCCTGCCTCATCACAAAACTCCTGCAGAGCTTCATCTGGCAGCCATGCACCCTGACATTATCCTGTGCAATGCCTTGATAAATGTGGGAATTAATTTCCCCTTGATGATGGCAAGCAGCCACAAATTGGTATCATGTTTTCATGCTGGTGTGAAGTGGCCTTTGTACACCATACCAGTGTTAATTTTGACACCAAAAGCCATTTTTCATGACAAAAACAATGCTAAAACTAAATAAAAATTAACATTAGTTAATGAGAACTAAGACAAAATGTTTACTTTTTTTGTCAATGAATAAATACCAAATGATACTATTTAAGAAGGATGAAAGGATATGAAGTAATTAAAGTCTTAATGCTGAGGTTTGCTCCTGATCAGTAACAGTTTCCTCCTAAAAAGTTTACTTCTCTGTGTGAAGTCACTTTAATGTAAAGTCTACAGTGTCTACGCAGTGCCTTCTTTGTGGAGCTAGGGCGAGAGACACCAATTTGTTTGAGTAGTGGTTTGTGGTGATTGGGATGTCAAAGGCCATGCAGACATCTTGGGTAAAACTGGGCTAAGTGCAGTTTTAAACTTACATCTAATTGTCCTTTCAACAGAATTCCAATTACTATAAATCCATGTGAAGTAGGTCTTAAACAAGCTGAAATGTTGTCATTTAAAAGTGGTCAGAACAGTGTAAAATGTAACCTATACTGTTATTTCCTGACTTTTACTTTTTTGCTAACTTCACTCCACTGTCATCTTAATGAACTCTTGTACTTCATCTTTTATTTATCCGTCAGTGTAGTTTTTGAAAAAAATGCATCTAGAATGGATACAGAAAATTGTAATTTCCTTTCCTGATAGGTATTTTTTGGACAGCAAAGATGGAGAAGAAAGGTACTTCAGAGTTGAAGAGAGCAGTGGAGTTATACGGACAAAGCAGCCTCTGGACAGAGAAGACATGCCTTGGCATAATATCACTGTGATGGCTTCAGAGGTTGGTAGGTACCCAGCTCACTTTCCATAAAACAAATGTTTACCAGTTGGCGAGTAAATGCAATGCACCTTCTGTTTCTGCTTGCATGTGCTTCATCATAGACACACTGTGTATCCCATTCTCCATACCTACTAGTTTTCCTACTAGCATGACTGTGGAAGATTTCTCTAATATTTGACACATTCAGGATCTGTGTAGTGTAGTTAAAAGAGAGTACTGTTTTTCTCCACACTCGGCTTGTTTAGCCCCAAGTTAATTATCAGAACTGCACTGAAAACATGGGTGAGTTCTGTGCAGCAATAGCATGTTTTAGATGATTGGAAAATAAAATTAGGTGCTATAGTTCTAGTTTATTTTTAAAGTTTGTTTTTTTCTGAGCTAATCTTTCATACAAGATAAGACCCCTTAGGAGATCAAATTGCAGTCAAGATCAATATCAAGAAAGAAAGAGAAAGTTTTCATGCAAATAAATGAGAATATGAATCTGACTGAACTCTTAATAGTATTATTAATGGGTAAGCTAATAATGAAATTAACATTTGAAATCTGGAGAAAACAAGACTGGGGAGACCATTTGCATTTTGATTAGAATGTATTCAGATCTGTTAGTGTATTTTCCTTATAATTAACAACAAAAATCAAATTAGTCCTGATAGTTTAAATGTCCTTTCTTACATTGAAAATTAATTAAATCAGTGCAGGCCCTGCTGACTTCAAGAATTGCTATCAGGTAGGTTGGCTAATTTGTAATCACAATTAGTCAAATCTCTTGCCAGCTGACAGAGGTGCTGCATGCCAATGTTTCTTATCTCTTCACCTCTCCTTAGTATTCAAGGTTACAGTTACATGCCAAGACATTGTCAAAAAGAAGAATGATACATTTCTACCACTTTGAATGAGCAAGACCACAAAGACACAAGCGCCTGCACATTCCACTGAAAACCGTCCTGCAGAGACTTTAATCTGATATCTAAAGGTCACAGGAGTTGACCGACAAACTGTAGTGAGTGAGTGAACTGGAGCAGCGATACATGACTGCATTGTATTGTTATTTTCTTGGTTCACTTTACACCTTAAAAGCACAAATGTCCTCTACATTAAATGACCACATAAATCGCTTGTCTCCTACCCCTGATACAGTATGACATAAAGGAGCATCTTAGATTCTCCATCTTTGACTTTTAAAGTCGTCGTGTGGCAGCATTTCAGTTTTCCTGTTTTAAGAAATGTCACAAGCGGAAAGGAAACTGACAAAACACATAACAACGTGCAAATACTGCAGAACAAAGGCAATGCTAGCCCCCTGCTGTCAGCGTTTCTACAACAACTAGAGGTCAACTAATGATAAAACAGGACTAGGGATGGTAATAATCTGCTTGCACATATGGCCTATAAGATTATTGTCATGGGGGATAGTCTCAGTACAGCAGGTGCAATGTCACACCTTCATTAGCTGTTGAAAAAAGTGTCATGCATGAAAACCTTTTCTGTCTGCACAAGACAAAGCAAATAAGCATTAATTACAAAGAAAGACTGCTGCACCTGCTTGAATTTTTTTATTCAAGGAGAGCTGCTGAGCAAGCATGCTATTATTAAGCACTGTCCTGCTACACATTCCTACTGTAAACATACTTGCACCTATAACCTATCCACTAAACCGGTCCTGTTCTGTTGGGGACTGAGGCAGTGTGCGCATACCCAAACTAAGCCCGATGGAACCCAGGGGTTTGGGCCGCGTTTGGACAGAAATTTTAAAATTAGGATCTGGTTCAGGTCTGGTTCGGACACGTAAGTCAGACTTTAGGCTAGATGGGTGGAGCACTCAAAATGTCTGCTTTGTTTAATGATAAAGGGGAAAACACTACAAACTCAACAGCATCAAGCTCGAGTCAGGTTCAGACATTATATACTATAAGCTTGTCAGATCCGGGTTGGATTCAGACACCAGACTTTTGGGCGCAGGTCAGATTCAGACAGAAGTATGGAGCCCTATCCTTGCTATAGACTGAGATGCCCAACAGGCTGAGGGCTAACTGCCTTGCATAAGGGCACATCTATACACTATTTATGGAACCAGGGGAATATCATGTCAAACCTGTGCTCTCAAGTGGTTGTGGCAAATAACAGGCTCAAATGTTGAATGTAAATCTGTGGCTTTTAGTCTTAAAATGACTCTTTGCATTTATACAGTATATATCAGTGTTGTTTTTGCCTAGTATTGTTGATGCTTCAGATGGACCTAAAAACTAAATATAATAATCAAATATTTTTTCAATAGAGCAAAGCACAATTGAAGTGTTCAAAGTGTTCAAAAACATCCGGGTTGCAAGCGAGAGCAGACGTCTTTACTGTTCCTCTTGTCTGTTCTATGATTTTTCACATCTTCTACATTTTCAAGTCTTTGAACAA